TTCACAATGGGAGTAGAAGCAAGTGGCCGCCATTAGAAGTTCCAAATAAGTGCCTAGTAATTTACGTCTCTTAGGGATGGAGGTCTTTTACAATCAAAAGTAAAGGGAGATTATTCCAAAGTAGCTGCATGGGTGCTAAAAAAGCCTCCAAAAGGAAAAGTCAGATCAAGTAAACTACATGAGACACAATTTGATTACTTTTTACTGTAAAAACCCAAAGAAACAAATAAAAAAATCCAGTCGTATCAAGTGCCTCATTCTTGGTCTTAAACACTATGCTATGGAGAATTATCAATACTGGTGGATAAGAAAATTTCTTATTGTATTTAATGCAAACAGGGATCCTTTTTGCATGAGCATGCCCAACCACTGAACAAGCGATGTGCATGGAGGCTCACCACAGGGTTTGCCTTCATCAAAATGGCGCGTCTCAAAGCTATCATAGCGATTATTTTGCTCGTTAGTCTTGGCGAATGTGCTTGTGATTTAACAAAATGTGTAGTTTGAAAAAAAAAACTCTAAAAAGGTCTTAGCAAAAGCAGAGTAGACCGGCTTTAACATACACGAGCTACTATCAAATTTTATCTCCCCACTTGACCTGGACAACAGCGCGCATATATGTAGTGCCCGCAGGATTGCGCTGACCTCATCAAAGTCTAAACAAAGTGCAGAAACGTTTGTTTCTTTGTTTTGAAATGGGAAAGGAAGAGAAATATTCAAAAAAAAAACATAGCAAATTTCAGCGAGTGGGTTCGAAGTGCGCGAAAGCCGATGTTCAGTTTAGCAGTGAATTAATGTGTTCTACAATTTTCCCAGCACTTTAAAGCTACAAAATTAAGAGCACACGAGACGTAGATTAGTCACCTAGTGAGATGTTGGTGGTAGTCACTTTGTATGTCTCAAACAATAAAAAAAATGAATATCAATGAGACAGTCAAATCTGCATTCAATAGGACCAAAATTAAAGTTCAATCTTGTGGCCGATTTTGATGAAACCAAGTTAGGTTTCCCAAGAAGTACAGTAAACATGTGATGCCGACCAAAAGGTAAAAATCATTAGAACATTTATATTCTGGCCAAAAGCAAATTCCTGTAAAAGATGCGTTACAATGTTAGTCCATGCAACAACAAGAAGTTCTACAATTTTCCTATAAACAAATTTTGTATCGCTAAAATACTTAAGGCCAAAACTTTCTATTCCAACTGAGAATGGCGTGGTAGTCCCCCGCTGTTCGTTATTTATCCACTCCCGAAATATGGCTAAATCAGCTATTAACAAATTATTGACAGAAATCCTCTACGGCATCGAGAAACTGGTTTACATCCGATTTTTAGACAAACAATAAATAAAGAACATTTTGCTCAATAGCTACGCATCAGCAATGCATTCTACGCCAAACTTTGCGGTTCTTAAAGGGGAATCAAGACACGAGTCGAGAGCCAAATAACAAGCAGCCATGTTCGTGTCAGACATCCTTGAGAAACTTGCTCTTTAACCTCGTTCAGCGCATCAGTCTCCACTTTAAATCAACAGATCTTTACTTATTTTATACAACGAAGGTCTTTCCTAAGTTCCTGCTACCATTTCAATCTCAAGCAAGCTTACAAAGTGAACAATTTGGTTCTTATGACTGTACAGCACGGTCCTGTCACTGGTCGCGTGCTCTTTGACAAGTCAGCGGTCGCGCATGCTCATGCAAAAAAGACCCCTGTTTTTAATGCAATATTATTAATACACTAAGCTAACCCCCTCCGGTCGAACCCACCAACTGAAAATAACTCAATGTTATAAGCACCCCAAACCAGAACATTATTAAGGTCATAATAATTAAATTGTCTTTAATCATTAATCAAGATATCATTAAATATTATAAAAATTTATGACAATCTGAGTTAGAGTACTACTACCTCATCATTCTTTTGCAGCTTATTGATATCATTGATGATGAAGAAATTGTTGACACCAAAATACTAGAGGAGTACCTTGAAATTACCATTTACCCAATGTGTATAAACAAGTACCAAACAAAGTTGCAAGGAAATGGTGCCCGCACCGAAGATGGAGGACCTTACATTGTCTCATTAATAGTGGAGCCCATTCATTGTAATGACTTGCCAAGGGGCAAGGTACGTTAGACATTGCCTATGAATGATTGATAACCTTTGAAGAAGTTTCTTGCTGCAATCAAAACTGCATGTTGCAGCAGAATTTAGTATTATGGGTCAGCTTAATTGCAAAGTATTGCTGTTTCTCACGTGGAATTCACATTGAATGGGTTCAATTGCAATAGATAGGATGGTGCATTTCTATTTCAAGGTGTATTACCTGTCTGTTTTTTGCTTGGCTTTACTATTAAAAATGGTTGTTGTTGTGTTCTTTCTTGTGAAAAACCACAAGTTCCACACAGATGGCTAAAGTGAATAAACACTACAGCAGTGACCACACATACATTTATTATACATTATTATTATAAATTATTAAAATTAGAATCGATAGTTTTGAATAATGATAAATAATCCTACTCTCTCAGTCGCAGAAGGGCATTAGGTAAATATTTAAACCCACCACCCACCCAGCCCCTGTTCCTCGACTAGTAACAATATATATATATTTTTTGTTTCAGCTTTTGACCTGCATCAACCCTTGCATTACCTTCAAAATGAAGACGCCTGATCAAGGGGAAATAAAATGCAATGGAATTGCTATGGCACTGGGTCCTTTTCTTGCAATGCTCTTCAATCATGGTTTGGACACTCTGGCACCCCAAGACCGCATCAAGCAAGAGATAAAGAACCATGGGCTTGGATGGGATTGGATCTATCATTTCCAGAGCCAAAGAAGCCAAAGATAGCATCTCTTTTAAGGTATCATCCAGGGCCTGGTTGTTCGAAAGCAGGTTAAATCCTAACCCTGGGTTAAATTGCCTTAACCGGAAGTTAAATTTTAATCACAGGTTTGTTGCATTGTTCAAACATCCCTTAGCGCTAACCTCGAGGTAAACAGCGGATTAAATTTAACCCTGCTAACTAGGTCGGTTAAATAAATAACCTCAGGTTAAATGAAAAATAAAGGAACGTCAAAAACAAAATGGCTGACTTGTTGTTTGCCGCATTACGGCGTCCACGAAGACCGAGACAGTTTAAACCACCCATCAATATCGAAAATTTTACAGACGAAGAGCTAAGAAATCGGTTCACGATTGGACGACTGGGAATTGGATACATAACAAATCTCATAGCCAATGAACTTCATCACAGCACTCGCAAGAATCATGCGCTTCCACCCCTGCAGCAAGTCCTGATTGCTCTAAGATTTTATGCTAGTGGAAGTTTTCTACAAGTTATTGGAGACACTGCTGGTGTCGACAAGTCAACCGTTTCGCGTATCGTGACAAATGTGTCAAATGCCTTGATAGTAAAGCAAAGCGACTTTATTACGTGGCCAACAGATGCAGAAGTTGCTGAAGTCAAGAACTCCTTTTATCGACGTGGAGGCTTTCCTTGTGTAATTGGCTGGGTTGATGGCACTCACATAAGAATCCAAGCGCCAAATGAGCATGAGAACACTTACGTAAATCGCAAGGGCTTCCACTCTACCAATGTTCAAGAAGTATGTAACCACGAAGGTCAGTACTAGAACAATGGTATGTTTGCAAACAAGAGTACATGTGTTTTACTTGAGAAGGTCCCGAAGGCGTCCGCTTAATAGAGGTTTCACTGCATTATCAATTGCGCTTATTAGGATCTTTAAGCAGATCACTACGGCGACCTCTACTACGGCAGGCGGAAGTAAAGAAGCCCAAAAATGACACAGTGCGCATGCTTTGAAATGAGCTTTTGCGGTTGTGCCAAATCCTACTTTTTTTACAGTCGATAGTTTTTACAGTCGACGGTTTTAAAACCTATCAGAGATTGTTTTTCTCTTTATCAAGAAAGCATTTCAGGCTTCTGGCTTTGCAATTAATACATTTTCCCTGCGTTTCTCAGTTTAAGATTTCTATCAACCGAGTGTGCCATGACAACAGAAACTGGACCACAAGGAAAAAACTAATGCTTGACGAAAACCATCAGTACAACAGCAACTGCTAGCAATAAAGCTAAATGTCCCTGAAGGTTGTTTAAACAAGAAAAGAATATCTCAAACGTTGAATTTGTTGATTTGTTGTTAACTATGGTACATAAGAAGAAATATCTTAAATATGAAGCCTTATCTCAAGTATTTAAACACATGACTTTGATCACTGTGCAATGCTTCCTTGCGCATGAAAGGAAACTTACCCTTGTTACATATATTTTTTAGTATGGAATGGACAGAGGCACATGATGTGCTCCTTTGCCGTGAAATACCGCACGATGAGCCATATCAAAGCAAAAAAGGCAGCACTGAGAGGGGGGAAGCTTAGACTCAAATTGCCAAGCAGTTATCAGGAAGTGATGAACTGATTTTCAGAGTTGACCAGCGTGGTGTCAAAAGGATGGAAAGGCTGAAGACAAATTATAACGCAAAGATGAAAGAGGAGGAGTCAGCTAGTGAAATTACAGTAGAGGAAATAAGTGAGCTTGATGCCTTAATTTGCTTGATAATAAAGCAGGAAAGAATGGCAGAGGAAGCTCGCCAAGCTAATGTAAATTGGAAAAAAATGATGCTGACAAGACAGCAGAGGAGATGTGAAAGGTTGTGATGGAGTGTTATGGAGAAACAAGGAATAGATCAGAAGAGGAAGACAACACAGAAAAAAGTCCAGAGAAGGAAAGTGGTGGAGATGCTGTTGAGTTTCCAAGGGAGAAAGCACAAATGGAAAAGGAGCTTCGTTGGGAGGAAAATGGAATAGTAAAAAAAGGAACAGGAATAAGAGGCTGCAAGGCAAAATATAATGCAAAACATGATGCAGAACATGATGCAACTACAACAACAACAGCAGCAGCAGGTAGCCACGATGATGGCTCTTGTGGGGAGACTGTTACAGAAAAAGAAGTATCAGAAGCTCTTTGAAACTGCCTGCTTGATGTCATTAACTGTGAAAGTAGTTTTGAGTTATGTTATATTTGTCCCCATGACAATATGCCAAGTTTTTATTATTTTGGAGACAGTTGCTTTTCTTGAAGTTAAAAACCAGTAAAAACCATCATCATAGTGCATGACCTCTTTTATATGGACACTTCCGTCTGTCCCTTTAGTGTCCGTATTAGAGAGGTTCGACTATACAAAAAAATTGACTGTAAAGACCCTTGTTTGCTGATCATGGTAAAGAGAGACTGTTTTTCTCTTTCAGCAACTATAAATGTGCTGAAATGTAGGATGTGTATCGGGCCATTCCAATGCATATAGTTCACTTAGGTGTTATCCATCTAATGAGACCCATTTGACACTCCAGATGATTTTTTTCCTTTGGAGGGGGGGGAGCGGGGGGGTTCAAGATAAGAGTTTTAAGGAACTGAACTCTCACATAAATTGGGTATGCTCATGCTTTCTGACCCTCTTGTTTTTATCTGTTGAAAAACTTGAATTTCCTTCTTTTTTTTTTTTCAGTTGCAGAGAGTCTAAAACTGATATTGTCATGTTGACTAGAATTTGATCCAATTGGCATTGATATTGAACAAACCAAACACAAAGAAAAATATTCCCTTACCATTGGGGCCGTACAAATGGCCTATGGTACTGTTTGGTAAAGAAACTAATTGATATTTACTCTTATGGACCCTCTTTTGCCCATTACACTGATTGGTGTCAGGCCTCGCAATTGGTCTAACGGTCCCATCAATAAATCTATAACTTGTCCATTTTCCCCATTTTGCTTTTATCCGATGGCCTTGCCTATCCCAAATGTACTTGTCGTGGGTCATTCTTTTCTTAAAGACGCTTCACTCTGATTTGCAATGCAAATTCGATTACTGTGCTGCAAAAGATTTTAATCTAATTCAAACTGCAACGTTTCTCTTTATGGCATCAGTGGGTTGACGGTCCTGCTATTAGCCCGGGAATTACGCCTTTAATTTGCTAACGAGCCGCTTTCTAGGGTCATGATTCTTAAGATCGGGACAAATCTTAGTTTGCAATCCCCTGAAGTTGTAATCGGGGATCTATTAGACTCCCTGGTTTGCCTCAGGAGGAATTTAACCAAACGGCCACCATGAGTAATAACATGCTGGAATCACAGACCATCAGTTCGCATTTGTTTGGGAACATTTGGAACTACAGTCCCTTTCTCGTAGAGTCCTTTTGTCTGATGGTGTTCATTTGAATCCTCACGGGCAGTATTGATTATATCGGAGTTACAGAGGTGCCATATTAAAAGGCATTTCTTTGCTTTCCAGTGGCACATGAGTTGCATGTATGCTCAGAATTGGGTTACCTGTATATTATTTATTTCTCGCAGTGTTATTACATGCTATTACATAGCTGTCTCCCTTAACTATTAGTTGAATTTTGTTATGTTGGTTGGTCCCTATAATGTTGCTGGCCCAGCAATAAAGAATTTATTTTTGTCCACCATATTACAATAACATTTAGCAAGTATGGGACTTTATTTTTGTGTAATTTGGTATATGTACCAAAATTAGACTGTGAAGATAATCCCAATGCCTATCATGATAATATTTATCTTGTCACATAGTTTGGTAACGTGTCATTTTGTCAGTATCAGCTGTGAGGGTTATTCCATGGCATTAACTGACAACATATTTCGAAAATTTGGGTACGAATTTGATCCTATACATTGGGGACATTTTGGTCCTACATTATTGTTGTTCTGCCTATTTTGGAGGCTATGATGATAATTCTATAGCACTCATCAGGCATCCTTCCACTGGCCAGAATACACACAGTGTATTTTTACAGCACAATAGAAAGCTTACTGCCGCGACACTGCGTTGTAATTGTCTGCCATGCTACTATGCTGTTTATGTGTTGTTTGTCTGTGTTGTATTGTTTTTTCTTTGGGCTCTTAAGGCCACTCCCATAGATCTGGCCTGGCCTTGCTTTGCCTGCTGCCTGTTTTGTTTTGTCTCTGTTTTGGTTTCCCATAGAAAAATGCCTTCTCCCTCACGCCCTACAAGGACAGCACGTAGTTCGAGCCCTCTGGGTCCTGTCAGGCTTTTGCACACAGCACATGTGGCTTCAGCCGCAACATCCAGCCCCACAACCACTGCCACAACATCGTCATCCTTTATAACAACTACTGACATCATGTCCACCCATACGGACTGTACCATCCATAGTCACAATTCAACAATGGTCCTGGGTATCACAAAAGCGGTATCACAAGCGATTATCCAGTCTTCAACACCCTTTATGTTGCCTGAGCAGCCTGCCTCGGCATCAGCATCAAAAGTGATGGAAACACCCATTATCCAGGATACTCCTGTCCACAAACCATCTCAAGGCACTTTATCACTGTAACATCCAGTGAGTAGAAATTTAATATTCAGTAAACACTTCTAAGGATTCTCCTGGTCAGCCTACCTTGTGTCTGGAGCAACTTCAGAAGGCCAAAAACATCAGCATCATTGAAGCCTGGACTTCTGCTTTCCTGATATTTGTGGGAATATATTCATCCAGATTTGCTGCATAAGCTGCAGCCCTAATGAAGTATGGGGAGGTGGTGAGAGACTTGGCTAACAAAGGGGCGAATTGGATTTATTGACACGAATTTTCGATATTTGAAGCAGCATAAGCCAGCTGATTTTGCCTGGGGTACTTTAAATAAGGTCTCAGCAGCTTTAAAGGGACAAATAATGTGCCTCAGAATGTATCTTGTTCCTCTCGGGGTAGCATACATCTGCCGATTGGCTATTGTCGCAAATATCACAAGGGAAGTACTTGTGGAGGTTGTTCATGTAAAAATGAATGCAAGGATCCAAGCTCACCAGCCAAACCAAGCCTCGCAAAACCAACTCCAGTCAAAATAAATAGCTTAGCTCCTCTTCTGTCTGGGTATTCCACTTCTACAGCTGAAAATTTGATAAATGGTTTTTGCTTCGGTTTCCCATTTCATTTCAAGGCCCTTCTTCTTCAACCTCTGCCCCTAATTTGCTATCATCTCAACAGCATCCTCACGTGGTTGATTCTTATTTAGCATAGAAGGTGTTGGCACAGCGAATACCTGGCCCCATTACTCACTCTCCATTTCAAACTTTGCGGGTATCACCTACCGGGGTGATACCGAAAGACTCCTGGTGAATTTCATTACATACAGCATTTATCATACCTCTATGGGGCTTCAGTTAATGATGGAATCCCTGTTGAAGACTCCAGTATTACTCACGGATTGGTGATGCTGTTGGGCTGATTTTGAGGTCTGGGGTTCACAGTTTTTTAGCGAAACCTGACATAAGGAGTGCCTTCTGTATTATTCCTATTCTGCCCTTAGACTATGATCTACTTGGTATCTGTTAGCTGGGTAAGTACTGTTATGACCGATGTTTGGCTATCGGCGTGGAAAGTTCCTGTAAGACTTTTGAGACTCTAAGTACAGCTGTTCAGTGGATTGCCATCTACTCAACTCTCATGATATGTAAATAATGCCTCATTCATAAGGTGACAAAATAAGGGTGCAGTATCTGTACTCTCAAACTGGAAAACGCTCGGACATTTCAGTCTGGATCCTGACGAGCCAGACGATTTGGATGATGAAAGACTTGAAGAGGAAGATCCAGTAGACAGTGAGCTTGCTGATTAAGGTTTGGACGATGAGCCAACTCTTACTTCATAACTGGTCCCTGGTGTACTTAGAAAAGCAAACAAGAAGCAGCAAATTACAGCTGATACTATACGTACAATTTCATGCCACCTTTTCTTCGAAAAATGTAGAATTTTAATTATTCTGCCAGGTGCATCTTACATAAGTTCATTGTGCTTCATTCTTGTTACCTGGACATTTTTTTTTTCTTGACAGACGTCCCAGAAACGTTTAATGACATTCTTACATCAATGCTGTCAATGGCTTCATTAACTGAAATGCATGATGCAAGTATCTGGTCATTTTAATTACGACACTGGCATTCACTGTACACATTTTCCTTATACCCGCAAAAAGGCTGTACCTTTTCTTATGATTTTTTCAAGTCTTCAAAGTTTGCCACTATTTTGTTCCACCATTCGCATTAGTCTCCTCTTGGTCTAAAGGGAGCTGTGACGTAGTCGTAACGTAGGTTCAGGAACTCTTATTCCTCTCAAGCTCAAGTATTTTGTTTGTATCTGTCTCGAACGTGGAAAGTAATGCGTGGAAAATGCCCAAGAGATGTGTCGCAGCACGTTGCAGCAACGTAGGTGACCCTGAGAAACATTTCAATGAATAAGATTCCGTTCTTCGGCGAGAAATGCCCGATAAGGCAAAAAAGAAGAAAAAGGTGGATCAACTTCGTGTTGGAGAGAAGAAAGATGTGGGTGCCGGGGAAGACGTCCTCGTTGTACTCAGAGCACTTTACTGCAGACGATTTGGAAACGCCGTTGAACATGGAAGTAAACTTGAAGTATGAATTAAAGAAGGATAGCATTGGGGTTTGTGACTACCCAGCAAAACACGCCAAGCGCGAAGGAGATGACAAGCCACCATCTAAAAGGAGTAGAGATAAGCAAATGGTAAGAAATTATTCTCACACGTGTTCCTGACATTCCCTGTGACTTTTTTCCTGAGATTTTGCTCTTAGTCCACGTATCATTAATGTTCAAGAAATGGGGGCAGAGCCAAAACACAGTGTTTTTATCTAAACTCTTGTTGTTATTCCAACTGTCATTTTTGCCGCACAGAAAACAAACCTAAGGTGACTGCAACTGAGAATGGAACGGAGGTTGTCATTAAAGCAGAGTGCACAAATCCCAGTTGCCAGAAGGAATTCACCTGGCACAGCCAGCCTATTATGCCAGGTACCAAGACTGTTGCAGGCAATTTCCTCCTGTGCATGGCAACGCTCTTTTCAGGTGGATCATTTTCAAGAGTGGCACAGATCTTCCAACACATCAGCCTCTCGTGTATCTCTTTAAATACATTCTTCACACATCAACGGGTGAATTGTGCTGATAATATTAAGCCTAAAAGAAAGGACCCAATGTAATGTTCACTGTACCTAACAGGGTGTACTCAATGAAAAACGGCAGAATCCAGATTCAGACAGCAAAAATGGAAAACAAACCTAGAAACAGAGAAAAAATGTCGCGTAAATGGTGCATAAAAGCAAGATTTCAGTACTTACAGCATAGTTTATAAAGCTAGTAAAGCAGCATCACGAGCCACCTGATTTGCTTTACTTTAGCGGTTTTCCTGGCTGACTTGCTTGATTTTCCCTTCAGATTTTTTGTCTGAATAACAAAATTCACTTTTCCCTAGCTAATGCTAATAATAGAGCAAGTTTTAAAAGGAAAATGCTTAAAAATCTCTGGTTTTGCTCATTCACAAACAACAAACTTGTGAATGAAGCTGCCAACGATTCCGTCCGGGTTAGCGGGCAAGATCGTAAAAAACAGCCCGCTCTCGGAACCAATCAGATTGCAGGATTTGGAGTATTCTGTCTGCTCTCAAGCTAAAGAAAAAGTTATGTTACTTTTATTGCAGGCATATTTTGGCAGCTATGCAATTTAATTTTAATTTACACAGAGGGGACAAAGTCAACAAAGATGGTACTGTGCCTCTGAAAGTCAGCTTCCCCAAATTTAAAAATGGCGAAGCAACCGTCAGAAGTCGAAAGATTGAACAAAACTTGGGCAAATAAATGATCAACCTTTATTACTTTAGAAACGTATTCTAAATTGAATGTTTCCTTGCAAACCACAACGAGTGCAGGCATAGGATGGTTTTGCATTTCTGTTTTCTTTCCTAGTTTTTCATAAGTTTTTGACAAATTACAAAGTCATTCCAGTGGATCCACACCATTTAAACCTACTAAACCACCTACTTATCCGCAGTTTTTAGACTATGTGGAAGATCTCTTTCAGTTCTTTCTGGGGCTGAATAAGCAACAGCTTCAGGATGCAGCCATAGAACTGAAGGAGATGACACATGCTTGTGGACAAAGAGTCTAGGGAGGAAGCTAGGAAAAGAGAAGAAAGGTTGAGGATGGTAACAAGGGATGTAGCTCCCACATCAGACCCAATAGCAGGACCTTCCTCATTGCCAGGTAAGCCTCTTTACATTACACCAAAAATTCTACTAGATCTGGCATGAAGCACAAGTAGGTGATATCTTCACTTTCTCTATTTGAAGTTGCTGTTCCGATTTGCAATGTTTTAGAGTTACATTGATGTTTATAATATTTATGCTACACACTTTTCACAAAATAAATTGGCACATGGTTTTTCTTTCTTAGCAGTGCCAGACCAGACAGAGAGACAACCAAGAGGGCAAGCTATAAGGGCACGTCCAGTCTGTTCTGACTGCAAGAACCCAATGAGAGGACACAATTTTGTCACAGACTGTCCCAGAAATAGGAGAACCTAATGGTATGAAGTTTTAGATTTTAAGGGGTTGAGACAATTAAGTACACATTTAATTTAAATCAATGATTTACGGTCTGTTGCATTTAAGCCTGAAAATGATACAGAAAACATGTTCTAACAGGGTGCCAGACATGACATGTTTAGCTACCAAACATTTCAAGTTTGACCGCTGTTAAGAGAAACTGTCACGCCGATGGCAAGTTGTTGATATGTTTTTGGACAGTGCGTTCCACTCATTTCATTTTTCAGAAATTATTCTTGACGTCTAAAAATTCTTACACAGAATATTCTGTTGAGTGAAAACAAGTCAACTCGACAACAGCCACCTACTCCAAACTTTGAATGTTTCGCGGCAAAACATAATATCATGTTTGCCTTTTTGTGGCAATGTAAAGTAAGTGGTTATGCCTGTCTGCTGCTTCATCGCCAGCAGCAGTGGGAGCAAAGATCCCTTCTGATGAGACAAAAGACTGTAAAGTTGTAGATCCAGAGGGAAATGCCAACTGTTGCAAAGACCGCAAAATTGATACTAGCCTCCCCCTTCTACAAGTACCAAGACACGTTCACTGCCTAGTACACAGAATATTTCTTCATGAAGCAACTTTTCCCCTGAATGGCGAAGAAAAAGTGGCAGGTTGTCTTCTGATGCCACACATAAGAAAATTAAAAAATTAAAAAAAGCAAACATCGCAAGGAATTAGCATTATCGTCAGGATCCTTACAGATTACTACAAACTAAACAGAGGGTATCTCAACATAGCAATCTGAAAGTCTCAAAAAGTTCATAGCCAGGGATCACTCCTTGCATATCAGCTGTTCTACGGACTTATGGTGCTCCTTGCGGTTGTTTTTACGTACCAGTATGCATGCAATGTCGCCCTTGACAGGCTACTAAGCTCCTGCTTGCTCAGCAACAGCAGCACGTCAATCCAAAAGAACATCACTCAACTAAATTGAAAGCAATGAATGCAAAAGAATATTGCATAGCTTAGCTGCTACAAGCAACATAACGAAGAAAATGACAGTAAAGCCTTACATAAGCAGGGACATATTCCCATCACAGTTGTTTCCATTGCAAGAGTTTCTAGTGCACTATGTATGAGATGCCTCGAGGCCTCAGCCATGACTGTATTTGGCACAGTACTGAAAATGGACTCCATCAAAAACAGAATGAAGAAGTTAAAAGGAATCAAGGCAGGCTAAGCCAAGTGGATGACAAATGTCAGAAATAAGAGGGCCGACTCTGAAAGCACTCTTTTCCTTCAGCCTAGGGCAAATGGACTGATAAAAAGTTTTGACAGAAGACAAACAGTAAACCCCCTTCTCCTCTACTTGGACAGAGACTGTCTGCTGTTCATCAAAGGCTTCCACTTCTGGTTCTAAACTGAAAGCTCTCTTAGCCAGTTGGCTGCAAAAATTGTCAGACAAGACATTTCCCATCACACGAGGCGCCAAATGTCAAAGAAAAAGTGAACCACTTAAACGTGAGAGCACCAACAATCATACGATTTTTATTCAAACACTTAACAGCTTTGCCACATTTCTAGTTCTATTAGTGTTCGCATCTTTGCTACACGCTTGGGTTCACTTTTTATTTATTGTTTATATTGTTCTTTGTATTAAGAGTTTTTTTCCCATGTCACATATCTAACTTTGCTTATGACTTTCACTTCAGTTCTATGTTAATACATCCAGTTAGTTTAAGTTTAATCTTGGCCTTGTACTTCTCTAAGACTTTGCCTTAGTCATATCACTATCTTCTTCGCTTTTGTTCAGTTTTACAGTTACTTTATCTTGACTTTGTATTTGTTAATTATTATTTTTCAGTACGGCTTTGCTTTCCTTCTATGAGCCAATTTCAGTTATACCGATAAGTTTGTTTGGTATGTTGCATAAAGGGTGCCACTATAAACGGCATGTCCACAGATTGCCTAGCCCACTGTATTTTTGAAAAGAACAAGGACCTCACGAGACTTTACACACTCAAGAGAGGAAATGTGAATGTTCTGTGTAGCCAAGGCTGATTAACTTGTAGTCAAGACGGCCACAACCAACAAGGAGATGGCACAGCACCGCAGATGTCAAACTTGGGGACCGAAGGTACAACGTGCCTGATCAAGGCCGTAAAGGGTAAATTTTCACAAGAAACCAAATCTCTTGGTGTTCTTTTATTTACAGGTGCCCTTATCACGATTATTTGGCTGGAAAAGAACAGAAACTTGGCATGCATTCATGAAACTCTTCACGTTTACTGCTACACAGCAACAGCAAGCAATGCAAAGGTGGGGTGGAATTATCACTGTGCCTTGGAATGATTTTACTTGCACCAGGCTTCATTTATCGCTGATTACAATTATCTTAACTTCAATTAAGTAACAGCTATCAACAGTCATTCAACGCCAAAGAGTTGTGAGACTGTCCTAACCACAAGACCTGGTATGTCATTGGTAAGATGAAGGTTTCAATCGTGTATCATGTTTCTTTTTTGTGCAATTTTTGTTTCGTTTTGTTTTTCCCTTTTTATCTGCATTCTTTATTTAATTTTTTTTTTGCCTCTAAAAAACATGGTCGTATCCTCTGAGGTTTCTGGGCACCTGATCACCTACCCAGAAAACTCAATTGATCCAAGTGATGAAGTGGGAGCTCTCAGTATAGTAGCACATTGCTTCAAAAGTCATTTTTCCCTTGTCTTGCCTTTTTGTTGTGACAAATTAAGTGATAAAATAAGTGGTAATGTTTATGTACCAGTATGCATGCAACATCTTGCTTGCTCGGCAACAGCTGCATGTCAATCCAAAGGAACATCAATCAACTAAATTGAAGGCAGTGGATGTGAAATCCTATTGCATAACTTAACTGCTACAGACGCCATAACCAAGAATATGGAAGTAAAGCCATACATCTGCAGGGATAGATTCCCATGATAGCTGTTTCGAGTGCAAAATGGTTTCTAGTGTGCTATGTATGAGATATATACAGACAGATTGATCTCCTCAAGGCCTCAGCCATGACTGTATTTAGCACAGTACGGAGAATAGACTCCATCAAAAAGAGGACGAGGAAGTGAACAGGAATGGAGGAGGGCTGTGCCAAGTGGATGACAAATGTAAGAAATGAGTGGGGCAAGATCCTGGTGACTGTTTTGACTGACTCTGAAACTACTCGTTCCCTTCAGCCTATGACAAATGGACTGGTAAAAAGTTTTGAGAGAAGACAAACAGAAAACTCCCTTCTCCTCCACTTGGACAGAGCCTCTATACTGTTCATCAAAGGCTTCCACTTCTGGTTTACCACATTTCTAGTTCTGTTCGTGTTGGAGCCTTTGGTGCAGGTTTGGGTTAGTTTTTCATGTATCGTTTATGCATCCTTGTTCTTTGCATTACGTGTTTTTTTTGCATATTGTATATCCAGCTTTGTTAGTGATTTTTACTTCAGTTCTTTGTTTAATACATTCAGTTAGTTCAAGTTTTGTCTTGGCCTTGTACTTGTCTGCAACTTTCCCTTGGTCATATCACCATCTTACTGAAAGTATGACATTTGTTTCATTCCCCTTTACAGTTTGTCTACTTGCCTTTGTTCAGTTTTAAAAGTTAATTAATCTTGACTTTGTACTTGTATTATTTTTCAGGACTGCTTTGCTTCCCTTCTATTAGCCAATTTCAGTTGTACCGATAAAGTTTGTTTGGAAAAGTGCATAAAAGTTGCCACTATAAACACCATGTCTATGGATTGCCTGGCCCAACGTAATTTTGAATAGGACAAAGACAACCTCACAAGACTTTAAGCAGCAAAGAGAGAGGAAATGTGAATGTTGGGTGTGGCCAAGCCGAATGAACTTGCAGTCTAAACAGCCACAACTAACAAGGAGATGGCACGCCACTTCAGGCCCCAGTTGTTCAAAAGGTGTATAGCACTCTCCACTGGATAAATCACTATCCAGTGGAAAGCGCAATAAGTTTTCATAATACTCATCCTTTGGATAGTGATTTATCCGGTGGAAAGCGCTATCCAACTTTTGAACAACCAGGGCCAGATGTCAAACCTGAGGACCAAGTTTAACTCCACAGCTGATCAAGGCTGTAATGGGTAAATTGTTACGGGCAACCAACGCTCTTGGTATTCCTTTATTTACAGATGAGCTTCTCACCATTATTTGGCAAGAAAAGAAGAGGAACTTGGCGTGCATTCATGAAACTTTACTTTAGTGCTACACAGCAACAGGAAGCAGTACCAAAGGTGGGGTGAAATTATCAGTGTTCTAATGTGCTCGTGGTTTATCCCCCTTGAAATGATTCCACTTGCACCAAGCCTTATTTATCGCTGTTTACAATTAGCCTAACTTCAATGAAGTAACAGCTAACAACAGTTATTCAAGGCTAAAGAGTTGTGGGATTGTTCTGTTTTGTACTTCTCTTTTTATCTGTTTCTTTAATTTAATTTTTTTTGCTCCAAACTAAAAAATGGTCGTATGTTCCGAGGTTTCTGGGCAACTGACCATCTACCCAGAAAAGTCAATTGATCCAAATGGTCAAGTTGGCGTCTCTAGTATAATACCACATTGCAATCAACTCTCTTGGTGTTCCTTTATTTACAGATGAACTTCTCACGATTATTTGGCCAGAAAAGAGGAACTTAATTTGCATTCATGGAAGTATGAGAGTTTAGCACTACACAGCAACAGGAAGCAATACCAAAGGTAGAGTGGAATTATCCGTGTTTTTATGTGCTCGTGGTTCATCTCCCTTGGAATGATTCCACTTCCACCAGACCTCATTTATCACCTTTAAGCGATGAATTTGTGACACCTGATTGGTACAAAAGGATTTTTTACCTAATTTCCATTTTACAGCAGTTTATAGTTTCAATTCTTCAAGGCACATTGCATGGTAGCATGTTATAGCATAGTAGATGATAAATTGTTTCCTTTCAATTTTTATCCATCAGAAAATTTAAAAATGACTTATGAATGCTCACCAGGTTTACTCAACTTCATTTTAGGGGACAGCACCGCTGTACTGAGGTCACTGCACATCTTGTTTCACAGGAGCAGTAACATCAGAGCTGCAGAAAGTGCGCACCAAATGCATTTTCTCCGATTTTTGAGAGGACTGAGGCGAGTTTCAAAATAGAATGTATGTGAAAGGAGAAAGATAGTATTAAAAAATCCGTTTTTACAGAATTTACATCGAGATATCACATTTAGGACACAATGTGATAAAAAAAGCGTTTAAATGAAAATCAAAGTGAGTAAGCACAAGTTAAACATCTACTATTGAGGTTCTCCAAAAGAGAGTCGAACTCGGCAACTCGCACACTGCTTACGTTATGCACATGCCCAACACATTGAGTCTCACCTCAGCAAGAAACAACAGCAAGCAAAAATTCCAATAGCGTTTCTCTTCCGTCAACTTCATTTTAATAATGTTACTTCACATGCTCTTTTTCACGGCAGCCATCTTGTTATGCGCAGTAAGAGATGCGCAGTGCAAAACCAGGGAATCATCTTAAAGGGGTACACAATCTTTTTTTATTTTATTAGTGCTTTTCAATATACTAATCTTTTTAGTTTCTGCAAGTCGTGAACCTGTGGTCTGCACTTGCGTCTAACCCCAGCCAAGGTCAGTTTCTTGATTTTGTTATGAAATTACCAAGCAATAATTTTTATCATCATATCTCAGACAAGCTTCCTTTGGTCACTTAATTATCATTTATTCAAGCTTACAATATGTTTATCTTTTTAGCTTCGGTAAGTTGTCAACCTCCATCTGTTAGTGAAGAACATCCACATCCTGTGAGGTCTGCCCTTGTGTCTAATCCCAGCCAAGGTCTGTGCTTTGATCTATTATTGAATTTTACTAACAATTTTTATTATCATACGTGTCGGATGGTTTGTTCATTGTACTGCACGGACTTTTTGGAGTTGGTGAATGAAAGACTTACGGTAATCTAATAACAATAAATTTATTTTTATTTTGCAGAAAACCCACTCCCACTAGGTTGGAAGCAAAGTTTGCCTAAAGCTGACCATGCGTGGGTGTCGAAAGCCTTCTTTAAGGTGAACACAAAAACTGGCAAACCAGAATTAGACATACCAAGGTACATTGCATTTATGTACATTTATATTAAAATTTATTCACTATCATTGAAAATTATTTATAAGTTTGCCAAAAATATTACTTATAATATATAATTTTTTAACATACAGTGTGGTGTCCTCATAATTACTTGTGTTTATTGACAGGCTTGACAAGCTATGGTGGTATCAACCCCAACCTCTCCTTGTAAGTGCAGAGAGCCCTAGTCCACAGAGATAATTTTCACAGCCTCTTCTCCTGTGGATGCCAAGAAAACTGTGGCGTGTAAAGCTATAGTGCCCCCACTCTGGCTGTGCACCAAAAGAACTAACTAGTGCTGGACTTTATCCACACATTCGGCAAGTACTTGACATCGATGGGTATTACAACTTGGCAGCTGAGTATCTGGGGTGCAGGAACTGCACCCATAAGGTACTGTCTCTGTTCTATTCCAATGTATCTATTACAGATCGCAATTGAATCCAGGTTAAGATTTTGGAACCAATAACATATTTGTGCAAAGTCCTATGGAGTGTCTCCTATATTTTGTCCATGCATTGCTAATAAATGCACTTGCCATCGTCTGTCAAGGCTCTCTTTTCGTTTTTATGATGTTTAAAAGGTAATAAGTTGGAGTGGTCCAATTGTCAACCAACTGGATATGGGCCACAAGTTGCAGTTCCCTACCATACTCACCTACCGCTATACATGTGATGTTCGGGTCATTCGCTTGCTGAGACAACGAGGCCTAGGTAATAGTGCCACCCAACTACAGAGAAAGCTAACAGAACAGCACAGTGAAAGATGGCTTGTACGTACGATCAAGTACCTGAATGATTGCAAACACTTCAGGGATGCTTCTTATATTAGGCTTTAATTCCTTGCCCCAAATTTGAAGATCCGCCTGAGTACATTCCCCTGCTGTCATAGAAGTGGTTCCTCACTGCTTATGTCCAAGATATTCTGCCACACATTGAGGAAATTAAATCTGGAATCACATCCACTTTTGGGATAATAATTAAAATGGATTCCACCAAGAAGATTGTTAAAAAGCTGGCAGGACACAGCACTGGGACAGCAGCCTGGGCCACAAATGTTGCAAATGAGAGAGGACGGATACTGATGAGTGTCCCTACTGCTAGTGACGGAGTGGGACTACAATCAATGACAGCAGGCCTCATGAAGAGATACTTGGATGCGGGTGTACCCCTACCTAAAGTTCTCTATGTTGATTGTGACTGCTGTGGAAGTGGTGCAGTGAAGACAAAAGATCTCTTCTCCCACTGGTCAGAGATGGTGATATCTCTCAACATATGGCACTTTATGCGACACACTGCTGTTGGTTGCACTACAGAGTCCCATCCAATGTATGCCATGTTCCTGGCCCGTCTTTCCCAGTGTATCTTTGAGCAGAGCCAGGAAGGCCTACAGCTCTTAAAACATGCTAAACACTGTGAACTAGCGAGGAGTGGAGTGAAAGATCCAAGTGACGAGGATGTAATCAAACATAACAGCAAGAAAGGGCTTGCCACCCACTGCCGCAGAAAAACCCCTGGTATAAAAGACACAAATCAGCTTATCCATGACTTACTTCATACATTTCAAGGTGAGCAAGGATGTGACACTCTCGGAGTACCACTTTTGGATGCTGACCGAATTTGGGATATCTGGGAATCTCAGAAAAAGCACATTACATGTATCCAGGATCCTGATGAAGTACAGCTATATACAAAAACAGGAGTTGTCACAAAGGGAGGTGTTGAGCTACCTGTATACAGATGTGCCCACGGATCAACTGCACTGGAATCATTTCATCTCCACTACAACCGATTTATACCAGGTACATGTACTGTAAATTTAATATTAATAGAATTTTATTGGAATCACTGCATAGATATTAACAGACTCTTGTATAATTTGCAATCCATTTTCCTTTTTACACTGACTCTTGCTTCTAGGAACCAGTGCTTGAAAATGCAAATTTACTAGAGGGATTGTTTAGGTGGAATGCTGACCGTGCTTCAGCTGCTGTGTCAATCGACCTTTCCACTGAACCAAAAACATACAGTGGAGTCCTACACAGCTGTTTAATAGTATCATTTTTCTTTTACATCTACCCTTTTTACAGAAAATTGCTCTTCCCAAAGCTTGGCAAGAGACCTTACCAATTGAGCAACCACGTTGGATGAGCAAAGCACTGTACCATTTCAACCCTTCAACTGGCAAGTCCAAGATAAAGAAAGACCTCAAGATGCGGTGGTTCGCACCAGAGCCTGTCCATAACTGCAACCAACCCCAAGCTTCACCTGACACTTACTTTCTAGAACCCTTTTTTCTCTGAGCGTCACAGAGAATTTGGGGCCTTGATCTGCGCTGCACCGAAGAGTGTAAAGCAAATCAAGCTAAACAGAATGTGAAGGTACAATTACATATAGGACTTGGGTTTTTCAAAGTAGTATTTATTTATATTAACATTTGTTACTGGCATTTATATACAGTTTTGAATGATATTTTTAGTATAATATTATTGTCTTGTCCTTTCACAATACAAATGTAAATATTACCTTGTGTGGACATGACTAAAGCTTTCATTTATGCATTGGGGATAGCACTGTAATGTTCTGTAATATCATGGATATTACACTTTTTTTCCACTTATGTATCATTTTTTTCAGCTGTACCTTATACAATCAGGGTTACACAAAACAGTACAGAGAGTGTTGGACATCGACCGATGGTACTTCATGGGTACACAGAACCTAGAATGCAAGTTTTGCGAAAAACAAATTGTTGCCTTGTTTAGTGTTGTACTTGGTCAACTGTGCCTAGGCCATCAGAGCTACTTTCCAGCACGCCAGTACCTCGACCTGACTACTCTTGGTTCCTACTCACATACAGGTACCAGTAATACACAAAGTTGTTAATTTATTATAACAATTCAGATCACCAGCAATAAGATGAGATGACATGAAATAAAATCCCACCTGCCTTTTGCTGGAAAATAATAGTACCAAATTCATTTATCCATTATTTAATAATGGCTTAATCAAATGACTTGTCCAGAAATCTGTTTTCCTATTTTTTTGTATTCATATACTCTTGTGATTTGCGAGTTGTTGGCCTGTTAAGACAGAGGACCCTCGGGAACTCTTCCACTAAGGTGTGTAATCAAGTCGGAGAGCAGCATAGTGAATTTTACATGAAAAGGCTCGAGGTTTTTACAAGCTAGGGAGCCATTTCATGTCAAAGCTGCAAGTGGCTTATTCACTATTGCTGCTCCCAACAAAGAATTACCACCAATCATACCGGTGCCTAAAGGACCTTGGTTTCTTGCCGTTTGTGAGGGATGGACTATTAAATAGTATTTTTTAGAAATGCATCTACACTGTACTGTATCTACACTAGCATATTTTGGGCACTTTCATTTTCTGTATATGCATTGCAGTCTTATATTTATCAAAATGTTTTAAGAATCGTTCTTCTTGCACAATTTTGCAGGTCACTAAAAAGCTTGGAGGAAATGCTGCTGGGACAGCTTCTTGGGCCACAAATGTGGGCAATGAGCTTGGTTAGGTACTTTCATCTGTCTTCCTACCTTTATGTCTCGACTATCTGCATGTGTGTTTGAGTGGGATACCGAAGACCTGCAAAGATTATATGCAGCCAAAAGGGATCAACTCTCTGCCAGTGGGGTGTGGAGTAAACGGAAAGAAGATGTTGCTATGCATATAACCAAGAAAGAACCTGCCTTGCACTGCAAATGACACACACGCAAAGTGGAGGAAACAACTCGTCTCATCGAAAATCTAATTGATACCTGTTCTTCTCACAAAGGGAAGGATACCATGGGTATACCTCTGCTGATTAAAACATCAATCCAGCAGATATGGGAGGAGCAGAAACAGTACATTTCGTGCATACAGCACGTAGGTGACCCTGCCATTCAATTATACACCCAGACTGGTACATTAAACAAGGGTGGTGTTGAGCTTCCCATATACAGGTGTGCCCATGAGTCAACATCATTGGAGTCATTCCATTTACACATTCATCGCTTCATTCCAGGTAAAAAACAAACAAAATCCTCTTCTTATAAAACAATATTGTCCTCATCCTCCTTAAGGATCACCTCCGTTAACAAAAAATGTTGACTTGAGAGATATGAAGATGTGTAAGGTACATTCCAACTACTGTCTGTGTTTCTGAAAAAACTGTACTGAAACAGAAACTTGTGTTATTCAATAGTCTAAGACCATCTTATAAAATGGTAACATCTTTCTTCTGGCACTCCTTTTAAATCCTAGACTTTTTAAATGTAGGTACAATAGCCAATGATGTCCACTTCCAGTGTTATCTACTTGAGGGCATTGTACGCTGGAATGAAGACAGGGCTTCGGCGGCCATGATAGGCGGGGGTGAAAAGTCAACAACGAGCAGCTACTTTTCCTCCCTTAAGTACGAAATCAACCGCTTGACTAAAATGGTGTATCGTAAAGAGCAGCAAAAGAACTTTGACCATCCTGGCCAGTGTACAGGTAATGTGGGTTAATTGTTTACCTTGATCATGTTTTGCATGGATTTAGGTAACAGTTAAATAGTGCTGTGTCTACTTAGTGTATCCCATGCATGAGCAATCTATAGGCCGCTGATTTCCACCTTCAGTTGGAAGGTTGCAGTTCTTAATAACCTCATGAAACTCACATACCGATTTGAATTGTTCTTGTTATTAAAAATTAGGTGAGAAAATGGGGGTAGAATATCTCTACAGCCAGACAGGGAAGACTTGGTCTTCAGATGTCAGTCGTCTTGATCCAGATGAACCTGATGAACTGACTGATGAGTTGACTGATGACTCCCTAGATGAAGGTTTTGTAGAGAGTGAAGAGGTGGATCCCACTGTTGGTGACCTAGAGCCATCTTCTACAGATCAGCAGCCCTCAAGTGCAATCACTCGTATTTTACACAATTGAAATTAGTGCTAATCTGTGATTATTTGAGTTACAAGACAGTCTTTCCCTTGAAATCTTTGTTTTAATTCGGGCATTTTCAATATTGTTTTGGTTCTTCTTCTTTCTAGCTCAGTCATCAAGCCAAGAAGACAGCTCCACTAGAAATGAAGAACCACCAAGAACTGATATACACGTACCTTCCGACACTGATGACACTTCTGATACTGAGTTGCAGGTAAGAATACATGTTGTATGAGTCAGAAATTATTTTTAGCCTGGCCAATATTGACTTTATTATACCTACAAAATCATTATTATACCTTCTGTGTCTTCTAATCTCTCCTGTTTCCTGTAGGAGACAGTTGGTCCTCTTGGAATTCTTGTTTGGGAGCAGATCCAGCAGCTTACCAATGCACTCTTTGAGCTACGAGATTGCACTGCCCTAACAGAAGCCCAAGTGAACCACCTGAACAGCGAACAGCAATGGTGGAAGGTCATGATATTTCTGGCTCTGACGACGAAGCCGTTTGGGAGCCAGAAAACGAGTTATACCTGCTTGAACTTGATGGTTCTGATTGGCAATACCTCCAGCTGAACGGAGAGCAGTTAATATGGACAAGCGACTTAGAATCCTTGAAGAATTTTGTTGAAAATTGTCTTCAGCGGCAAGGAAAGTGGTCGTCGCCCGGCGGAAATAATAAGCAATTCAAAAGTTGCAATGATAAGCTTGTTAGAACTTGGTACTTCAAGAAGCAACTTACTCTTGTTTTCCAAGGATAAGATGGTCCGTTTTTAAAAGAAAAATTGTTCAAACTGGTTTAAGACCAGCCGGAGATGACAACCGATTTGCCGAATTGCTCCACAAGCCAAAATGAAAACCAACAGACAACAGATAATGGAGCAGACTCGGGATCAGAAAATTCTTTATTTGCTGAACTGAAAGACATAAAATACAACCTGACGGTATTAAAGAAGCAGGTCGATGATAACACAAGTTCTTTATCACCTTGATCTGCGCTGCACCGAAGAGTGTAAAGCAAATCAAGCTAAACAGAATGTGAAGGTACAATTACATATAGGACTTGGGTTTTTCAAAGTAGTATTTATTTATATTAACATTTGTTACTGGCATTTATGTACAGTTTTGAATGATATTTTTAGTATAATATTATTGTCTTGTCCTTTCACAATACAAATGTAAATATTACCTTGTGTGGACATGAATAAAGCTTTCATTTATGCATTGGGGATAGCCTTGTAATGTTCCGTAATATCATGGATATTACACTTTTTTTCCACTTATGTATCATTTTTTTCAGCTGTACCTTACACAATCAGGGTTATACAAAACAGTACAGAGAGTGTTGGACATCGACCGATGGTACTTCATGGGTACACAGAACCTAGAATGCAAGTTTTGCGAAAAAAAAATGCTGCCTTGTCCAGTGTTGTACTTGGTCAACTGTGCCTAGGCCATCAGAGCTACTTTCCAGCACGCCAGTACCTCAACCTGACTACTCTTATTTCCTACTCACATACAGGTACCAGTAATACACAAAGTTGTTAATTTATTATAACAATTCATATCACCAGCAATAAGATGAGATGACATGAAATAAAATCCCATCTGCCTTTTGCTGGAAAATAATAATACCAAATTCATTTATCCATTATTTAATAATGGCTTAATCAAAATGACTTGTCCAGAAATTTGTTTTCCTATTTTTTTGTATTCATATATTCTTGTGATTTGCGAGTTGTTGGCCTGTTAAGACAGAGGACCCTCGGTAACTCTTCCACTAAGGTGTGTAATCAAGTCGGAGAGCAGCATAGCGAATTTTACATGAAAAGGCTCGAGGTTTTTACAAGCTAGGGAGCCATTTCATGTCAAAGCTGCAAGTGGCTTATTCACTATTGCTGCTCCCAACAAAGAATTACCACCAATCACACCGGTGCCTAAAGGACCTTGGTTTCTTGCCGTTTGTGAGGGATGGACTATTAAATAATATTTTTTAGAAATGCATCTACACTGTACTGTATCTACACTAGCATATTTTGGGCAATTTCATTTTCTGTATATGCATTGCAGTCTTATATTTATCAAAATGTTTTAAGAATCGTTCTGCTTGCAAAATTTTGCAGGTCACTAAAAAGCTTGGAGGAAATGCTGCTGGGACAGCTTCTTGGGCCACAAATGTGGGCAATGAGCTTGGTTAGGTACTTTCAACTGTCTTGCTACCTTTATGTCTCGACTATCTGCATGTGTGTTTGAGTGGGATACCCAAGACCTGCAAAGATTATATGCAGCCAATAGGGATCAACTCTCTGCCAGTGGGGTGTGGAGTAAATGGAAAGAAGATGTTGCTATGCATATAACCAAGAAAGAACCTGCCTTGCACTGCAAATGACGCACACGCAAAGTGGAGGAAACAACTCGTCTCATCGAAAATCTAATTGATACGTGTTCTTCTGACAAAGGGAAGGATACCATGGGTATACCTCTGCTGATTAAAACATCAATCCAGCAGATATGGGAGGAGCAGAAACAGCACATTTCGTGCATACAGCACGTAGGTGACCCTGCCATTCAATTATACACCCAGACTGGTACATTAAAGAAGGGTGGTGTTGAGCTTCCCATATACAGGTGTGCCCGAGAGTCAACATCATTGGAGTCATTCCATTTACACGTTCATCGCTTCATTCCAGGTAAAAAACAAACAAAATCCTCTTCTTATAAAACAATATTGTCCTCATCCACCTTAAGGATCACCTCCGTTAACAAAAAATGTTGACTTGAGAGATATGAAGATATGTAAGGTACATTCCAACTACTGTGTGTGTTTCTGAAAAAATTGTACTGAAACAGAAACTTGTGTTATTTAATAGTCTAAGACCATCTTATAAAATGGTAACATCTTTCTTCTGGCACTCCTTTTAAATCCTAGAATTTTTTACATGTAGGTACAATAGCCAATGATGTCCACTTCCAGTGTTATCTACTTGAGGGCATTGTACGCTGGAATGAAGACAGGGCTTTGGCAGCCATGATAGATGGAGGTGAAAAGTCAACAACGAGCAGCTACTCTTCCTCCCTTAAGTACGAAAAATGGTGTATCGTGAAGAGCAGCAAAAGAACTTTGACCATCCTGGCAAGTACACAGGTAATGTGGGTTAATTGTTTACCTTGATCATGTTTTGCATGGATTTAGGTAACAGATAAATAGTGCTGTGTCTACTTAGTGTATCCCATGCATGAGCAATCTATAGGCCGCTGATTTCCACCTTCAGTTGGAAGGTTGCAGTTCCTAATAACCTCATGAAACTCACATACCGATTTGAATTGTTCTTGTTATTAAAAATTAGGTGAGAAAATGGGGGTAGAATATCTTTACAGCCAGACAGGGAAGACTTGGTCTTCAGATGTCAGTCGTCTTGATCCAGATGAACCTGATGAACTGACTGATGAGTTGACTGATGACTCCCTAGATGAAGGTTTTGTAGAGAGTGAAGAGGTGGATCCCACTGTTGGTGACCTAGAGCCATCTTCTACAGATCAGCAGCCCTCAAGTGCAATCACTCGTATTTTACACAATTGAAATTAGTGCTAATCTGTGATTATTTGAGTTACAAGACAGTCTTTCCCTTGAAATCTTTGTTTTAATTCGGGCATTTTCAATATTGTTTTGGTTCTTCTTCTTTCTAGCTCAGTCATCAAGCCAAGAAGACAGCTCCACTAGAAATGAAGAACCACCAAGAACTGATATACACGTACCTTCCGACACTGATGACACTTCTGATACTGAGTTGCAGGTAAGAATACATGTTGTATGAGTCAGAAATTATTTTTAGCCTGGCCAATATTGACTTTATTATACCTACAAAATCATTATTATACCTTCTGTGTCTTCTAATCTCTCCTGTTTCCTGTAGGAGACAGTTGGTCCTCTTGGAATTCTTGTTTGGGAGCAGATCCAGCAGCTTACCAATGCACTCTTTGAGCTACGAGATTGCACTGCCCTAACAGAAGCCCAAGTGAACCACCTGAACAGCGAACAGCAATGGTGGAAGGTCATGATATTTCTGGCTCTGACGACGAAGCCGTTTGGGAGCCAGAAAACGAGTTATACCTGCTTGAACTTGATGGTTCTGATTGGCAATACCTCCAGCTGAACGGAGAGCAGTTAATATGGACAAGCGACTTAGAATCCTTGAAGAATTTTGTTGAAAATTGTCTTCAGCGGCAAGGAAAGTGGTCGTCGCCCGGCGGAAATAATAAGCAATTCAAAAGTTGCAATGATAAGCTTGTTAGAACTTGGTACTTCAAGAAGCAACTTACTCTTGTTTTCCAAGGATAAGATGGTCCGTTTTTAAAAGAAAAATTGTTCAAACTGGTTTAAGACCAGCCGGAGATGACAACCGATTTGCCGAATTGCTCCACAAGCCAAAATGAAAACCAACAGACAACAGATAATGGAGCAGACTCGGGATCAGAAAATTCTTTATTTGCTGAACTGAAAGACATAAAATACAACCTGACGGTATTAAAGAAGCAGGTCGATGATAACACAAGTTCTTTATCAAGATATCCACAAAATCAAGAAAATATTAGCAACAAAGAGCTTATGAAACAGAAAGGGAGGTGTGAGAAGCTACAGGCGTCAATATGCAACAAAGATAAAGAAATTAATGCACTGAAAATGAAAATTGTGTCTCTTGAGACCCGTGTAGAACCCGCAGAACAGGAAAACGACTCCCTAAAATTAGCATTAAAGCTTATTATGCAGGAAATGAGCGTAGGAGAGCGTCAACAACAGAGGAATCAGAGTTACGAGGTAACTGCCCCTCAAGGAAATTCAAAGAGTGATAATGCCCAGTCTAATGAGAGCTCTAATTCTGAAAACGAATGGCAAACCGTTGATGCGAAAAAGAGAAAGAAAAAGAACAAAACACGGAGAAAGAAGATCATGAAGCACAGTCCAACGCCCATGATGACACGGAAAATTCCACGCCAGCAAACGAAAGTACAACCTTGTTGATTGGAGACTCTATGATAAAGAATATCCAAGGTACACGTTTAGGAAAAGCCGTTGGTCATCGGGTGGTGGTTAAATCGTTCTCCGGTGCCACCACCAAAGCTATGAAGGATTACCTTAAACCTAAGCTGGAGCTTTCACTGGACCAAGTGATTCTGCATGTGGGCACTAATGATCTCAAAAGTAAAGAACCACAACAAGTTGCGGGCTCAGTGGTAGATCTTCCCAGACAAATTGAAAACTCATCCGATGCCACAGTAATTATATCTGAGCTCGTGTCAAGAAGAGACGCATTCAATGAAGCCGTGAAAACAGCCATAATAAACAACTGAAGTTCTACTGCTGGCAGAATGCATGGAAATTTATCCAGCATCAAAACATCTCCGAAAAGGAACTTAACAAGGGTAGACTACATCTTAATTTCAAAGGTGATCCACAGTTTCTTAAGAACTTTCAGATCAGTTTAGGTTGAAATGATGCGCTATCCACCGATGCCGTGCCTATTCAATGTACAAAACGCAATACTGAGGAATCTCATGAGCCTACCTCAGTGTTGCCATCTCAACGAGGTTTTAAATTAGCCTTAAATATCAATAAATTAATCACACACATAGATCAACTTAGAATTCTTCTAGCGCATAACGAAAAAGATATTTTATCGATTAATGAAACTATAAGGTTATATGCGACTTCTCACCTTTCAAATTTAGAACTAAGGGACTCTGAAAATAAACTCAATGTTCCATTACCGCGCACAAACTATTACAAAAACAGCTTCAGCTATAGTGGCGCCATTCTCTGGAACAGTCTTCCTTGTAACTTAAGGAAAGCAGAGTCCCTTGGGCAATTTAAACGATTTCTCAAAGAACTGTAAGGCACAGCATTCGTGGAAAGCACCTTTTTCATTTAACTATTTTTATTATAATATTATTAGTATTAGGCATTTTTAAAGCTGACGAATATTGTACAGTGGATAAATAAAGATTATATATCTATATATCTATCTGATAAGGTTGTGGAGTGTACTCCCTACTGCGCTCAAGGAGGCAAAAGTCATGTACCCTCCACATTACCGCAGTGATGATAAACTCATGCAGAAAAAACCAAGTGCAACTCATATGCAGGCAGTGACGCCCATAACAGTCAGTCTTAGAAGGTGAACACAGCGGATAGTTGTCAAGTTCTAACAAATGATTTAAAGGGCAAAATATTAACACATAAAATAAACAATTCTGATTTCTCAAAGATATTTTTTTCATATCTATAAATACAGGACAGAGGAAAATACTTTTAGTCAAATTTGTGCTGAGATTTTTTTGTATCATAACTATAGTTTTTGGGAGGGGATGAGGCGGGAATAGGAGGCATGGAGCTCCGAGTAACTTGTCAAGTAAAACACGTAATATTGCCCACACATGTAGCTAGCTGATTGCTAAAAGTAAAAATCACCTTCTCTTTCCATTTTATATCCCTCTTGTCTTTTAAATGCTGAAAAGAGTTTGAATAAATATTTTTCAGGGCAATGGTTGGTGGAAAGTCTGGTCCTGTCACTCATGAAGATGCAAGCCATCTGGTGGAGGCTATTTGTGTCAAATTAGAGGCAACATATCATTCTCCACAGAGGCCTAATGGCAAAAGTGTTTCTAGGTGGAGACAAGTACCATAACATCAGGAACCTTGTCACCTTGCATGACCATCTCATGAACGCAACCAACATTCAATTATACGAGCTGAACCAGACTACTCTTCTGACATTGTAACTAGCAAAATTTTCAATTTATAGAATGTGATAATCAATGCCAAGATAAGAATTTTTCATGCTTGGCATGTGCAACTCAGTTCCCTTCAAAACCCCTTCTCTTCAATTCAAAATGCTTGACAGTGGACCAAATTTACATTTACATCCACGACACATTTTTACTGTACTAAGAATAATGAAACAGTGTTTGTTAATATTATTTTGTCTACAGGTTTAACAAGAGACAGAAAACCATAGAAAACAGGGTTCTGATCCAGTCACTCCTACTCACTGCACCGGATGAGACTGCTTGAGCCACTTCCTCCTGCACAGTCACTTTTGTCCAAGCCACCAATCTATCCAGCTCGAACGCCACATGACTTTAAATCTATTCCAAATCTACCAACTGAAAGACCTAGAGGCATACAAAGAGTTGTACCTCCAGCTGAAGGGGCAGTCCTTGTATATAACAGTCCCATTGTTATATCAGTGCCACGTACAACACTTTACAACCAGCGTAAAAGGGCAGCTGAAACAGAAACTTCAAGTACTGAAACTGCAAGCAAATGGAAGTACCAGAGGTCAACTACTTTCAACATCTGCAGACAATGCCACCTGCCTAAAACGAAGACATGTGGTCACAGTCACCATGTTGGCAGATATGGACTAGAAACCTTTTGTCCTTCAGTAGAGGGGAAAAGGTATCCAAGTGTGGATGCCTGGCTGCAGGAAAGGCGAAGAGATAATCCAAAAAAAAGAAAAAAAATTATTCTACATGACAGAATTTTTAGTCTTATCTATGATTTTTGTTTTGCAAATTACACTATACCCAAAGCAGCTATGTGCACGGTATTGTTTACAGGATACCACCACAAAAATGTCGTATGGGCGCGAGTCACCCCGGCGTGAGTTCACCCCGGTTGTTGTACTGGGGCGAGAATTTCACTCCGGTACGAAATATAGCAACGGTATCATGCGTAATGTTTGCAATTTTGAATCTTACATGTATTTTATCAACATGAAGGGAAGGGTTCTTGGAACCCCGCATGGCCAAACTCGTGAACTCCTTTGAGAAGGTAAACTGTTTCTATGTGTTGTTTCCTGTTGTTATTGTTATCCTTCTCTAACTTATGTGCAATGAGAGCCACTTATCACAAGATGTGCTTAATATAAGTTTTAATTATATAATCACCATGGCTCTTTTGTGTAAAGTAGTGTAATAATTTTTATTTAATCATTTATTCAATGTTTTGTTTTGTACTACT